AAAAAAAAGGACTCAATTAAAATGGGTTTTATATGCTTTTCTTTTTCAAGCAGGGTGCCTAGGACAAAGAGGTCATGTCAAATAGAAGCAATCTACATCGTGACCATTCAAAAATATGCATTGCCAAATATGACTACATGTCTTTCTGGTTTCATGGAAAAACCGAATAAAGAATCTGAACTTTTACAAAGAGACTAAAGAGGGCTATTTCTATTATTAAGTTAATTTTAACTCCAAGACAGCCCACCTGTTAATATTGCTATCAAATGGGATAGTGAACCATATTCTTTTTGCATTTGTTATTACTCTTATAACATTACAATGGTTTCAATACGACATCTAAATTTGGAAAGCACGACATTCAGTCTCATTATTTTTTGGAAACACAGTATATCCATGGACTAGACGCTTCCATCTCGCTACGCTCGTTTTTGCACGTCGTTGTTCTGCCGTAGGGTTGAGGGTCCCGTCCTTTGTGATGAGTAAGGGCAAATGCTGAATGAGATGTAGAAAGGTTAACACGTTTAAAGAGTAAGTAAAGATCGCATAATTTTATTGAATGGGAGTCACATAGTTGGACATAAGTATAGTTGAGCATAAGCATAGTTGGGTATAAGTAAGTTGGGCATAATGCATATATTAATTGAGCAAAAGCTCTGAGTAAACAACATTGTTGGTTATATAAGTATTCTCTGGCAAAAGGACTGATACACTAGAGAGAGAAGCCGCCCTTGACAATGCGACATATAGCTGACCATGCATAAACGGCGAACGCCGCAAGTCAACTTCTACATACTTTAATGATTGGCCTTGGGACTTATTGATTGTCATAGCAAAGCATAGTTTTACAGGAAATTGTTTCCTGGTGAGCATAAATGATATATTGCCTTCTAGGGTCGACAGAGTAAATCGTGGGATGAGTTCTATTGGAGCATCAGGTTTGTTGGCTAGGCGAACCCTAAGCATATACTGATCAATATGCATTATGGTTAGCCTCGTTCCGTTACAAAAACCTCTTGTTGGGTCAATGTTTCGTAAAAGCATAACCGGTGCACCAACCTTTAGCTCCAGCTGTGAAGGAGGCAGGCCCGAGGGGTTAAGGCTCTGAAGGTTCTCTGTAGGGATGGTGTGCAAGCCATCAGCATCGTTGATATCAGCAGAATCAGTTGACAAAAGCGTAACCTTCTCACAGGCATCTTTTCAAGCACAGTCATGTTGATGTTATCCACCGTATCATTACGACTGGCTAAGATTGCCCTTTCGTCAAAGTACACTTGACTACTCAAATTAGTTCTTTGAATGTCTTTAACTTTGTATATTCTACTAATGAATTCAGCTAATTGAGTGGTCTGGTGAATGAAGGAAGGAAGGGCGATATTGCCTTGAAGGCTACTGTTGTAGGACATGTCTACCAAAATCTTGCAAATGCAGTGCCATTTACATTCAAAAGACTTGTTAGGCGCATGTTCTGGGTGAGTCTCAAGAGATGAAGCTTTGGCCATAAGAATGATTGTCTAATAGAGGCACTGACGGTGTCAGCCCTGTTACCCCTTCGGACTACTGGCAGAATATGGTCAAAATCACCACCAAGGACAACAGGCTTTCCTCTAAACAAATAAAGTTCATCAAGATCATTATAGATGTCTTGCAGGGTGCAATGAACAGCTTCAAAGCAATACTTGTGCTGCATCGGCACCTCATCCCAAACGATTAGCTTGGCTCGTCTGATCATTTCCGCCAGGTTGCTATCCTTTCGGATGCTGCAAGTGGAGCATTCATCTATGAACAACGAGATCTTGAACAATGAATATGATGTTTGACCATCCGGAAGGAGAAGCGCAGCAATTCCAGAGGAGGCAACGCAAAGGATGATTTCATTTCTACTCTTGTAATAGCTACAGAGAGTGCTGTAAACGAATGTTTTGCCTGTACCGGCGAGGCTTTCAGGAAGAATTGGTTGTTTCTAGTATCAGATTCAATTTTGCTGGTGATAGTATCAAAGGCGTGCTTCTGCTGTTGATTGAGCTGGCTATACATTCTGTTGAACTCGATCAGAGCTTGTTCAGAGCCAAACACCAGTGCTCTTCTTATGCGAGGGTTGGCTTTCATTTGGTCGCCATCACTGCTCTCGAGCAAGGACTGCCAATGACAGAGAGGCGCAGGCAGGTTGAACATCTGGAGGCTTTTCCCGTTCTCTTCGAGCTTTCTCTGTAATAGGTACAGGCCGCAATCTGCAGCTGGGTTCTCATGTTGAAGCGCTTAATTCAGAAGTTGCGCTGCGTAATCATTACCTAGTAGGCTTAAAAGCCTATGCGATAGGCCGCCACGCATATCATCATAGTAACTGTTCCAGAGTGTCGAAGGGTTGCTTAACTGACCTTGTAGCAATGCAGTGACAAAGAGTCTACACAAATTACCTCCGGTAGCAAACAATCGTGCTTCAGCAAAGCATCGATCAAATGAAGAGCGACGCAAGCTTCTCTAAATGTCGCATATAGAGCCCCATTGACTGTCCTAATATCCTCAAAAGGCTTGAGGCCACGTAAGATGGTGAGGAGAGGGCGTAGGTAATACCTCTCTCCTGCAATAGGACTGCAGTGATGCATCCTACCAATGGCAAAGCCTCGCTGGCGAGGGTGCCATTTCTTCCTCCTTTCGTCAAAGGCAAAATGCTGAGGGAATTTCTAGTAAAGATATTGTCTATCATCCTCGTTTTTTGCATTATAGTCAAAGAAGGCCATCAGTGTTGGCTTGCTCCTTTGCAGTATCTCTGTAATTTCTGAAGCTGATGATTCAGACGGGAAGTATACTGCTTGCTGTCCGGGTAGGTGAACTTGCAGGATAACAACGTTTGGGTCTTCCTCATGTGTCTTGAACTGGAAGAGGTTCCATACAGCCTCAGAAGGCCTAATATACCTGGAGTGAAGGTACTTTTTGATCTCATCTTGTATGTCTTCAATCTCCAAATTTGTACGATCTGAGCCTTTGTAGACGTACTTGTTGACGTACTTGATCACCTGGATGCTGCTGCGCACTTCAACATTGATGTGGGTCTTGTATTTTTTTAGTCAGGTAAGGGTTGTAAGGCACCACCCAACGGTTATCCATGACAATGTCAGGATCAATTCTGCCCGAAGGTCTGACAGAGTACAGAAAATTGTTTTGCTCCTCTACTGCAATTCGCCTACAACGATAGTAAGGATAGCCATCCTCAGTGAAGGTGGTCTCATCTTAAAATGGCTTAGGAAATCTCTTGGAACAGGCCATTCCTCCTCTGCCATCTTCAATCATACACGGACTGCCAGGATTAAGATCACCACAGGGACCATGCAACATACAGGATGTGACAATTTCAAAAAGCTCTGGGCCATTCGTCTTATCCGGGATTTCTGCGCAGATGATTTGATCAGCTTTTTCAGCATCAGTGAAGTTGTCCTCAGGATCAAGAAAGAGCAAGAGGTGCATATGAGGCAAGCCTCATTTTTGGTATTCAATGGTATGGACTAATATTTTATATCGACCAAATATGTGTTTCTTCTTCAGGTCGTTCAAAAAATGACGAATTTTCAAATTGAACACTCTGGCAGTCAGGTCAGGCCTGTCAAAGATAACTTGGCCAGGGAGGAGCTCATTAGTGATTTCTGTCCACTTGGGGTTGGCCGTAAAGATGATAAACAAAGATGGCTTCCCAAAATGACGAACAATGGCCATAGAATCATAATACAATTGGGCCATGAATCGAGGGTCGCCATGGAAGCAACTTAGGAGAATGAATCGACATCCCAAATTAGCAGCGTTAACTTGGTCGCCTTCAGCAATAGCATCTGCTAATCCGTTATAAGCATCAGCCCGAGGCCTATCTTGGTTGTGACGAATCCAAACTAACTTATTCTGGCCACAGGTTGCCCGTGCATCCACCAGGAACTGCTGAAAAAGCTTTTTGGCATAAAAGATAGCAGGAAACTCATGTTCTCCTCTCAGGTACAATCTGAATCCATAGTAAGCGCGCTGAGATAGGCGATCTCTTTGCCTTGTTGAAGTAGTTACTTCTTCATTCGTAGCCGTTGCGGTAATGGTGGCAGTGGAGGAGGAAAGGCGCATGCCCCAATGCTATCCGTAGGTTCCATGAGGAAATAATAGGACATAATGGGTGGGCATATATGCAGCATGTGTTCGACTGATTCTTTGAAAGTGCTGGTCAAAGTCATAGCCTTGACGTATGATGTCATAACGATTTCTTCTTAAGGTAAGTAAAATATCTCTAAAGTTTCGATCACTATACTCAGTTGGTATGACAGCAGCGACTTCCTCCATTGTGGGAAGATTGTGAGTACGTCTGCCGCTCCTGTCGATTAACCTCATTGTCATTGAAGGACCGATGATAATGTAAGGCGAGTTGCTTTCATTGTGGTCATTGGTGTTATTGCTCAAATCTCCGTCCATACTTGTATTCTCGTTTCTTCTTAGAATCTCATGTGCATGGCAATATATGCGTGAAAAAGGGTTACAATGAGAAAGCAGAATAGACAGCTCCGTTATGATCTTGGAATTAAGATTTTCGTTTCTTTCGGATCTTCTTTGTGCAGCGTAAGATGGATCATATATGTAGACTTGAGTGTAGGATGGTTCGCTGCCCTTATAAAGAATAAGTGGCCCCTGGCGGTGGCAAAAAGCACCATGGATCTGGAATGCGTTGTCCACCACTGTTGTTGTTGGCATTACGCTCCTCAGCTGAAACAATGTCGCATCCCAAAGAAGTAAACGCAAACGCAGCGTTATATTGACGAAGGTTGTCCTTAAAATGACGACTTTGGGTGTCTGTACGTTCGAGCAAGTCCTTCCAATATTCAGTGAATCAGGCAAGAGTTGCAACTGGACTGATCCCTGTTTGCAGCATGACTTCCAGCTGGGATTTCTCATCGAAGATGTCTTTTGCCTTTCATCAATCCAGCGTAGGGCGTGACAGTGTGAGCATCCCTTGTCTATACGTCCAAGGTCCAAAGGACGAAGACGAGAAATTTGCAAGATATAAGCAGCAGGAATGATCTGAGAAGGTTCTACTTTAGATCTTCCCCTGCGTCTTACTAATCTGCCTTCCTGTTCTTTTTGTTCAGCTCGATGTCTGCGCCGTAGTGCTCCAGCTCTTTCTCTGCACACTTAGCAGGTGCGATAGCGTGAATCTGCTGGCAATGTCGCAACACAGGAGGAGTATATGGTTGTTCTAGAAGCATTGTTTTCCATTGTTCTAATGAGCGACAATGTTAGCAGACATGTTCGAATCAAAAGAAACATTACATACCAAATTATTTCAAAATGTTTATATGCTGAGTAAAGGAAAGGAACGCTTAATGCGATGAGAAAAGGAAAACGTTAATATTCGAAAAGAAAGGAAAGAAAGCTCATGCATTTTCGGGAACCAAGTGCTTGTCGCGCAGGTTCGATGTTCGATTCGGAAAAAGTATTAAAGAAGCAGTCAAATCATGTGATGTCAAGGCTGATACTACGAAAATATTCTTGTGAGTTTCTGTTCCTTTAGCTTGTGAATCACTTGAGGAATTAATTTCCACGGCGGAAATGGATACACCCCTTTTTTCGTCCACTGTTGTTGAAAAGCGTCCACCGCTGCCGCTTCCGGATCCGGACGGAAACTCCAAAAGATTGGTAATTGGTGGTTTGTCC